CGGACGGGCTGAGGAAGGAGATTGGGGTCTTCTGGGAGTGAGAGGGGGCGGTTGGAGTCTCCTGCTCAGACTGAAGGGCGAGGTTGGGGTTCCCTAGGGCTGAGGGTGGGCGGTTGCGGCCCCCGGCCGGGCTGGGGGAGGGCACAGAGGGTGAGGGGATTCATTGGGGCTCCCTGGGGGAGGAATGGAGTGTTTGGGCTCCCCTGGGCGGGCCGAGGAAGACTATGAGGGCTGTTTCCCCAGCTGTGCCGGTGTTTCGTGTCTCCTGCAGTGTTGGTCCCCACTCGGTGGGTGCCACCAGGACGTCCTTTAACAAAGGGGGATTGATCCTCCTTGGTCGTACACGGGAACACCCCAGTGGTGCTCCCAGAAAGCCCCTAAGCCACTTTTCCCAAAACACTGCTGCTTATTGGGAAAATAAACCCCAGGATCGTGATGCTGCTTTACTGCTCCATCTGTCGATTTTGTGAGATGTGACAGTTGTCAATTTTGCCTTGGGGCTGCAGACAGGGGCTTCGATCTCACTTTCCGGACAGCGGATGATGCTGGGCTGTCACTGATCAAATATGGAGAGTTTCTGTATGACAACTTGATCATCTTCTCGCCCTCCATAGAAGGTAAACACAGGAGAGGAAAACTCTCGTGGCATTTTTGGAAGAAGTTTTCCAACGGTTTTGTGAATTTTAATTAATTATTGCACTTCACATGTTATCCTTTGTGTCTTGCACCTGGTAGCAAGCTGGCTGCTTCCAGACCTTTAACGGTGGTTCTTTCAGCCACAGTAAAAATTAGTTGGTGGTTTACTGTGTTTTAAGTCTTCTGTGGTATTATTTCCGAGAACTAGTAATGAGTTTCTGGTGTGTGCTTTCAGATTTTGGTGGAAACATCAATGTGGAGACTATTACTGCCTTCATTGACGGTGGCGGCAGCGTCCTTGTGGCCGCAAGCTCAGACATTGGTAAGTACAAACTCTCAGCAGAGCGAATTAGCGCGTTTCTGCGCTTCTTGCCACAGACATCTGTGCTGCTTATACTCTGCAGTGAGCAAATAGTTCCTTCATCCTTCTCTGAGTTCTTGCAACAAAGCTGGTGAGAAAACACAGTTTCTCGTGAACCTCAAGGTTTGTGTTTTAAAGAAATGGAGGATAGATACCCTTTATTGGCATTTTGAGTGGGAATTTAACTGGGGGAGCTTGTGTTGCTGCTAGGGTTTGGCTTGTGGGGTGCCAAATGCATGATTTGATGCTGAATTTACTTTTTTATTTTGAGCGCTGAGACCGGCATCGCATCCTGAATGTATCAGAGAATAGAGAATCCCTTTTGTCCTTGCAGGGGACCCGCTGCGAGAGCTGGGCAGCGAGTGTGGGATCGAGTTTGATGAGGAGAGGACGGCTGTCATCGACCACCACAACTATGATATATCCGACCCTGGGCAGGTAAATCCATTTGCCTGCACCCTTTGAGTTTTGTTAATGACAACTTAGGTGTAAACATTTGAGGGCGAGTCTTCTTGTCCTTGCTTTCCCTTTTTGCTTCCATCCATTCTCCATTTTCTCATCTTCCTCCCAAGAAGGCCATAAATAGTTCTGCTTGACGGCGTGACATAACACCGCAAGGTCAGGATGTCTGCCCTCAAATCCATCTTTATGAATTTGCTGGGTTTGATCTTTCTCCTGCCTTGAGGAGGTTCCAGTTGTCGCCGTGTCCTGGGCAGTCACACCGCGCTATTCACGGCGGTTTTGAAACATTCTGAGGGGTGGGGGGGAGTTCGACCTGTGGGTAAAACGCGTCAGACACCAAGTGCGATGGATGTGGGAAGGAAGATTTTTGGTCCCCGAGATAAGTATGGAAATATGCACATTTCTATGTTTTTTTTCTCCCCTTCTGGTGTCACCCAGTGCTTATTAAAACCTGTATTCAGGTCTGAACTAAATACATTTTGCTGGTTTTTATTTCAGTTGAACAGCTGAAGCAGAGCATGGATGTTGTCCTAGTTTAAGAATGAAAGTTGTGTAATATGGGGGAATAAAATACTGTAGGTATTGCTGCCTTTATCCAAAGGTGATTTATGTTTCCTTAGGTATCAATACTAATTTAATTTGGTCATAATTAAACCAAAAAATGATGGGTTTTTTTTGCTTTTTAATTGAATTCTAACTTCATCCAAGAGCCGCTCAGTTTTATTTGTCTGTAAAACCGAAGTTAAACCTCCAAATCGCCAGAGAAGCTGTTCCTTGCTGTTAGAACCCGACAAACACCGACCCACCCGCTCCTGCGGTGTGTTCACGCTGATCTCTCTCACGTGTTCATGCCGATCTCTCTCGTTTCTCCCAGCACACGCTCATCGTGGCAGACACTGAGAATCTCCTGAAGGCCCCCACCATCGTGGGGAAGGCGGCACTGAACCCCATCCTTTTCCGAGGAGTTGGGTAAGTGCCCTGCGGCACGGGGAAGGGGGTGACCTGGTGGTGACTGGGGAAGCAGAGTGAAAATTCTGGTGTTGCTGCAACGGGAACATGAGCAATCCCTCTTGATTTTTGGCTAAGGATAAAAAGGAAAATTGCCAAAGTGACTTACTTGTTGAGTTAGGAATACTTCTTAACATAAATTAGCAAAGCTTGGCTGTGTACCTTGAGAAGATATTTAATTTCTTGGTGTGTGTGAACTTGGAGGTTGGCACGGCTGCGTATTCCTCTGGACGTGGGGGTCCTGAGGGTGTCTTCTAACTGCTCACCCTGCCTCTCCCCACAAGGATGGTGGCTGATCCCGACAACCCGCTGGTGCTGGATATCCTGACTGGCTCCTCGACCTCTTACTCCTTCTTCCCAGATAAGCCCATTACTCAGGTACGCTCCATTTTTCTCCTCTTTTGGGCTGCGCTTCTATGATCAAGTCCCTCAGATTTCATCAACTTGGGGAAAAAAATCCTCAAGAGTTTCATCTCCTGATCAATTTTGGAAGGGTCATGCTGTCCACTTCCCAATTGCTCTGGGAATCTTCCTCTTTGGTTTTTCGTTGATGGGAAAACATCCGACGTGAGGGAAGCTTTGGAAGAACAACCAGCCTAGATCAAAGCGTATCTCCTGGGTTCATTCCAGTTGGAGAGGGCGGGAGCAAAACACTGGGAATCCCGTTACTGGTTATTCTGGGCATGTCGGTGTCTGCTTTACTGCGGGCTGTGCTACCTACAGTCAGACTGTTCCACCCCGCAGCAAACCGGAGATTAACTCTCCTTCAATCATCCCGAATGAACGCTCTTCTGAACGCATTCCTCTTTCAGTACCCGCACGCGGTGGGGAAGAACACCCTTCTGATCGCGGGACTCCAAGCCCGGAACAACGCCCGCGTTGTTTTCAGCGGCTCCTTGGATTTCTTCAGCGACGCCTTCTTCAATTCCGCCGTGCAGAAAGCTACCCCCGGCTCCAAGAGGTACGGAGGCTGCCTGGCGTCCCTGGCTGAGGGAGCTCTGGGGAGCTGTGTGCTGAGGAAAGTCCTGGGAAACAGGCAACAAATATCCATGTTATGGGAAACGGCAGGAAGGTTGAATTAAATCGGGGGTATTAAATCGGGGGTGACACGTTTCTTTGGCCTTGTGGAACTAAGTGCTTTGGGAAGCAATTCCCTTCTTTAACCCCAGCTAGCTTTTTGAGGCTTGCACTTCTATCCATGGTTTGGTTTTGGCAATGTGAGGTGTTTTCTTGATGTGCCTTCTCAGGCTCCCTTCGTCCGCAGGTACTCACAGACGGGGAATTACGAGCTGGCTGTTGCCTTGTCCCGCTGGGTGTTCAAGGAGGAGGGTGTGCTGCGTGTTGGAGCCGTGTCCCACCACCGCGTGGGGGAACTCGCGCCTCCCAACGCCTACACCGTCACCGACCTTGTGGTAAGGCTGCCGGCTCAGAGCCTGGAGGAGAGGAAGCAGCGCAGAGTTTGAACGCGGAATGGGTCAAAGTTTGGGTTTGGGCCTCGCTCGTTTACTTTGTGCGTTGCGGGTCCATTCCAGGAGTACAGCATTGTGATCGAGAAGCTTTCTGACGGCAAGTGGGTCCCCTTCGACGGAGACGATATTCAGCTGGAGTTCGTCCGCATCGATCCCTTCGTGCGGACCTTCCTGAAGAGGAACGGTAGGTTCCCCCTGCTGCAGGGGTGTTCACACCACGTTGTCACGGTGGGACCTGAACGTCACCGCTCTCTCGTTCTCAGGCGGCAAATACAGCGTGCAGTTCAAGCTGCCGGACGTCTACGGAGTGTTTCAGTTTAAAGTGGATTACAACCGGCTGGGTTACACCCACCTCTACTCCTCTACCCAGGTAAGCACGGTGGGAGTTATCCCTGCGGAGGGAAGGGTGCCCGGGCTGCCCGACTCACAGGGCCACTGTTTCCCTTCCCAGGTGTCAG